AAAAAAAAAAAAAAAAAAAAAAAATGCAGTGCTTTTTCTTGGAGGGAAAGGGAAGAGATAACCCAAATATCTGAATGTTTCATGAAAATAAATAGCATCCCTCAAAATACTGGTGTTCCATATGAGCACGATCACAGCAAAATTAGGTTTTATGCCTTATTATTTTGTTTTTCATCTTATTTTACTCATAGCTATATATCTGTCCCCATCTTCTTACTTGTCATCCCTTGCTTTTCTACAGAGCAATTTCAGCCTGGTATAACCCAACAGTGGATCCAGAGTAAAAGGGAAGATATTGTGAACCAAATGACCGAAGCCTGCCTTAACCAATCTCTAGATGCCCTCCTGTCCAGGGATTTGATCATGAAGGAGGACTATGAACTCATTAGTACCAAACCTACAAGGACCTCAAAAGTCAGACAATTATTGGATACTAGTGACATCCAAGGAGAAGAATTTGCCAAAGTTATAGTACAAAAATTGAAAGATAACAAGCAAATGGGTCTTCAACCTTACCCAGAAATACTTGTGGTTTCTCAATCTCCATCTTTAAATTTATTTCACAATAAAAACCTATAAGTAACTCTTTTTCAAGAAGAAAAGTCAGTGCATAAAAGGGTATTTTATATTTCTTTTGCCTTGATAATATTGTTTTTATGAGATTCATATGAATATTAGAAACTTTAATGAAGTTTCTTCTTCAGATAAATATTAGTCTCCTTCCATGACATTATAGTATTTTTTAAATTAATACAGTAGAAAGTTTTATTTTTGCTGCATAGTTCAATTCTTTTTGTCTCTGGTTAATTGAAACTATTTTTTCAATGTAATAATTATATTTTTATTGTACAAAACAGTGTCTTCAGGTTTCATGTGTTTCTCATGGAAACCATTTTCACATGTACTTTCTTTGTGGATTATTTATTATTTGTTTAAGATGCTTGACTTTCTGAAAACTTAAATCAAAGACACTTTTAAATGTTATTTATTGAGTTCTTTAGAAAATTGTTTCAAAGATAAGCAATACAAAGTGTATAAAGAAAAAATTAATCCTTCAACATGTGTTTCTACTTCTATTCCTAGCCTCAAGTAACAATTAAGGTAACAACCAAAGTTAACAGCATGATGTGTATCGTTCTATCCCTTTCTTCCTGCTCATATTTAAAATATATGCCTGGGGGGGACCTTCAAGATGGCGGAGGAGTAAGACGTGGAGATCACCTTCCTCCCCGCAAATACATCAAAAATACATCTACAGGACTTCCCTGGTGGCACAGTGGTTGAGAGTCCGCCTGCCGATGCAGGGGACACGGGTTCCTGCCCTGGTCCAGGAAGATCTCACATGTCGTGGAGTGGCTGGGCCCGTGAACCATGGCCACTGAGCCTGCACGTCTGGAGCCTGTGCTCCGCAATGGGAGAGGCCACAACAGTGAGAGGCCCGCGTACCACAAAAAAAAAAAAGTACATCTATATGTGGAACAACTCCTGCAGAATACCTAGCCTGCACGTGGAGCCTGTGCTCCGCAATGGGAGAGGCCACAACAGTGAGAGGCCCCCGTACCACAAAAAAAAAAAAATACATCTATATGTGGAACAACTCCTGCAGAATACCTACTGAACACTGGTGGAAGACCTCAGACTTCCCAAAAGGCAAGAAACTCCCCATGTACCTGGGTAGGGAAAAAGGAAAAACAGAGACAAAAGAATAGGGACAGGACCTGCCCCTCTGGGAGGGAGCTGTGAAGGAGGAAAAGTTTCCACACACTAGGAAGCTCCTTCACTGGTGGAGATGGGGGGTGGGCAGTGGGGAAGCTTCAGGGCCATGGAAGAGAGCACAGCAGCAGGAGTGTAGAGGGCAAAGTGGAGATATTACCACACAGAGTATCGGTGCCTACCAGCACTCACCAGCCAGAGAGGCTTGTCTGCTCACCTGCCGGAGCGGGTGGGAGCTGGGAGCTGAGGCTCAGGCTTCGGAGGTCAGATCCCAGGGAGAGGACTGGGGTTGCTTGTGTGAACACAGCCTGAAGGGGGCTAGTGATCCACAACTATCTGGGAGGGAGTCCAGGAAAAAGTCTGGACCTGCCTAAGAGGCAAGAGACAATTGTTTCAGGGTGCACAAGGAGAGAGGATTCAGAGCACCGTCTAAAGGAGCTCCAGAGACAGGCACAAGCCACAGCTACCAGTGTGGACACCAAAGGCGGGCATGAGACACTAAGGTTGCTGCTGCAGCCACCAAGAAGCCTGTGTGCAAGCACAGGTCACAATCCACACCTCCCCTCCTGGAGCCTATGCAGACTGCCACTGACAGGGTCCCATGATCCAGGGACAAAGTCTCCGGGAGAACACACGGCATGCCTCAGGCTGTTGCAACGTCACACCAGCCTCTGCCAGTCAGGCTTGCCCCGCATTCCATACCCATCCCTCCCTCCCAGCCTGAGTGAGCCAGAGCCCCCTAATCAGCTGCTCCTTTAACCCTGTCCTGTCTGAGCAAAGAACAGATGCCCTCAGGTGACCTACATGCAGAGGGGGGGCCAAATCCAAAGCTGAACCTCAGGAGCTGTGCAAAAAAGTGAAAGGGAAATCTGTCCCAGCAGCCTCAGGAGCAGTGGATTAAATCTCCACAATCAATTTGATGTACCCTGCATCTGTGGAATACCTCAACAGACAACAAATCATCCCAAAATTGAGATGGTGGACTTTGGGAGCTACTGTAGAGGAGGTGTTTGCTTTCTGCATCTAATTTGTTTCTGGTTTTATGTTTATTTTAGTTTAGTAGAGCTTATTATCATTGGTAGATTTGTTTATTGATTTGGTTGCTCTCTTCCTTTTTTTTTATATATATATTTTTCCTTTTTCTCTTTTTGTGAGTGTGTATGTGTATGCTTCTTTGTGTGATTTTGTCTGTATACCTTTACTTTTACCATTTGTCCTAGGGTTCTGTCTGTCCATTTTGGGGGGTTTGTTTTTGTTTTGGTTTGGTTTTTTTTGAATAGTTTTTAGATGTTTTATCATTGGTGGATTTGTTTTTTGGTTTGGTTGTCCCTTTTTTAAATTTTTTATTAAAAAAAATTTTTTTTAAATTTTTTCTAATTATTTTATTTTATTTTATTTTTCTTTCTTTTTTATTCTCCCTTTTCTTCTGAGTCAAGTGGCTGACAGGGTCTTGGTCTCTGGCCAGGTGGCAGGCCTGAGCCTCTGAGGTGGGAGAGCCGAGTTCAGGACATTGGCCCACCAGAGGCCTCCCAGCCCCACGTCATATCAAACGGCAAAGGCTCTCACAGAGGTCTCCATCGCAATACTAAGACCCAGCTCCACTCAACAATGAGCAAGCTACAGTGGTGCACACCCTATACCAAACAACTAGCAAGACAAGAACACAAGCCCACCCATTAGTAGAGAGGCTGCCTAAAATCATAGTTCACAGACACCCCAAAACATACCACCAGATGCAGTCCTGCCCACCAAAGACAAGATCCAGTCTCATCCACCAGAACACAGGCACTAGTCCCCTCCAGCATGAAGCCTACACAACCCACTGAACCAACCTTAGCCACTGGGAGAAGAAACAGAAGCAATGGGAACTATGAACGTGCAGCCTGCGAAAAGGAGACCCCAAACACAGTAACTTAAGCAAAATAAGAAGACAGAGAAATACACAGCAGATGAAGGAGCACCACACCAAACAACTGAAGAGGAAACAGGCAGCCTACTCAAAAAAGATTTCAGAGTAATGATAGTAAAGGTGATCCAAAATCTTGGAAATAGAATGGAGAAAATACAAGAAACATTTAACAAGGAGCTAGAAGAACTAAAAAGCAGACAAACACTGATGAACAAAAATAAAAATTAACAATTCTCTGGAAGGAATCAATAGCAGAATAACTGAGGCAGAAGAGCAGATAAGTGACCTGGAAGATAAAATAGTGGAAATAACTACCGCAGAGCAGAATAAAGAAAAAAGAATAAAAAGAATTGAGGACAGTCTCACAGACCTCTGGGACAACATTAGATGCACTAACATTCGAATTATAGGGATCCCAGAAGAAGAAAAAGATTAAAAAAAGGGATTTAGAAATTATTTGAAGAGATTATAGTTGAAAACTTCCCTAATGTGGGAAAGGAAATAGTCATCTTAAGTCCAGAATGCACAGTGAGTCCCATACAGGATAAATCCAAGGAGAAACACTCCAAGACACATCATAATCAAACTATCAAAAATTAAATACAAAGGACAAATATTAAAAGTAGCAAGGGAAAACCAACAAATAACATACAAGAGAATCCCCATAAGGTTAACAGCTTATCTTTCAGCAGAATCTCTGCAAGCCAGAAGGGAGTGGCAGGACATAATTAAAGTGATGAAAGGGAAAAACCTACAACCAAGATTACCCAGCATGGATCTCATTCAGATTCAATAGAGATATTAACACCTTTACAGAGAAGCAAAAGCTAAGAGAATTCAGAACCACTGAACAGCTTTACAACAAATGCTAAAGGAACTTCTCTAGGCAGGAAACACAAGAGAAGGAAAAGACCTACAATAACAAACCCAAAACAATTAAGAAAATGGTTATAGGAACATACATATCAATAACTACCTTAAATATAAATGAATTAAATGCTCCCACCAAAAGACATAGACTGACTGAATGGATACAAAAAGATCCGTATATAGGCTATCTTATAAGAGACCCACTTCAGACCTAGGGACATATACAGAGTGAACGTGAGGAGATGGAAAAAGGTATTCCTTGCAAATGGAAATCGAAAGAAAGCTGGAGTAGCAATTCCCACATCAGACAAAATAGACTTTAAAATAGAGTATCACAAGAGACAAAGAAGGACCCTACATAATGACAAAGGGATCAACCCAAGAAGAAGATATAAAAATTGTGAATATTTATGCACCCAACATAGGAGCACCTCAATACATAAGGCAAATGCTAACCATAAAAGGGTAAATCGACAATAACACAATCAGAGTAGGGGACATTAACACCCCACTGTCACCAATAGACAGATCATCCAAAATGAAAATAAATAAGGAAACACAAGCTTTAAATGATACATTAAACAAGATGGACTTAATTGACTTTTATAGGACATTCTATCCATAAACAACAGAATACACTTTCTTCTCCAGTGCTCATGGAACATTCTCCAGGATAGATCATATCTTAGGTCACAAATCAAGCCTTGGTAGATATAAGAAAATTGAAATCATATCAAGTATCTTTTCCGACCACAATGCTATGAGACTAGATATCAGCTACAGGAAAAAATCTGTAAAAAATACAAATGGGCTTCCCTGGTGGTGCAGTGGTTGGGAGTCCACTTGCCGATGCAGGGGATGCAGGTTTGTGCCCCAGTCCAGGAGGATCCCACATGCCACGGAGTGGCTGCACCTGTGATCCATGGCCACTGGGCCTGTGCGTCTGGAGCCTGTGCTCTGCAGCGGGAGAGGCCACAGCAGTGAGAGGCCTGCGTACTGCAAAACAAAACAAAACAAACATGGAGGCAAAACAATACACTACTAAATAACCAAGAGGTTACTGAAGAAATCAAAGAGGAAATCAAAA